TGATAATGCGTAGCGAGCGGCTGGCAGCGCATGCGCAACAAGCTTGTTTACAGCTTAGCTCTGACAATGCGGGCGCGGTCCGGCTCCATCTTGTAATGGCGTCCACAGGGTAATATGAGTGTAATGGTGACTAAAGGGTGTTTTTTCATGTCCTCTATGCTCTAACTATGAAAATATTTGATTTACAAATAGGGAATCCTACTTCGCGGAATTTCATTTATCACGGTAGGGTCTAGAACCGATTAACCGCGATAAACGAGGGTTCACTGTACTATGTATTTAATAGGCAATTATAATTACCTCTGAACCTTTAAGACATTTTGGTATCTAGGCCCCATCTCACTTAAGTCTGGAGGCTGAAAGACAAAATTTAAAAAATAATACACTTCCAAGGTGATTCCAATACAACAATTATGGCCTTGATAATTCCTTGAAGACTAAGGCCATATCTTAGCCACTTCTGTGGCAGCATAAGACCTCATATGTAATGTGAACTCAAATATCAATTTCCGTGAATGCAGATAGGGAAAGCTAATAACCACGAGAAACCACTGAACCATTCTTTCCCTGGCATTATATTAAAAATTTCATGTAGCATTAACTTGACCTTCAATAGTTCAGTGTCATGAATAGTTGGAAACAAGTTACCTAAATGCTCGAACATGAACAGCTGGACTGAAATTGAACCCTGACTGGAGTGATGTGAAATGCTGGGGTCCAAGAAGCCCAGGCCATCAATAAAAGCTGTTCATCCCAATATTTGACAACTATCCCTTAATCACAGACAGGATTCAAGTAGCAAATTGACAAGGGTAAGGGATACAACAGGAAGAATGTGACACATTCAGTGAAAAAAATGACAATTCAAAGATGCTAAAAAATGGTTCAAAATGCTATGCAAATAAATAATACACTTTCTAACCCTCCCAATTAAATCATTATGATATGAATTCGAATTGACTTCATTGCAGTAAGTGTGGCTTCTGCTATATATTTTGTGTGCTACGTTGACAAAATATATCTGAATGACTAGTGTCCCATCTATCATAATTGTATTCACCTTTTATGTTTCTAGTGACAATAATCTGAAAACAATAATTATATAATTGTTTTTATATTGTCATTCAATCAGAAACATAATGTATTTCTAGTCTAATTTTCTAAAGAAACATAAGTTAATATACTGTTATTAGGTGCCATAAAGTCAGTTCTAAATTATAGAAATCCTATATGCAACAGAATGCTGCAGAACAAAACAAAATATCATCATAACTGTTTTTATATTTGAGCGTGTTGTTACGGGTACTGTGTCATTGGGGGAAATCACAGGGCCTTCCTTTTTTCACCATCACGCCACCTTACCAAGCATGATGTCCTTCTCCAGGTACTGGGCTCTCAAGTTCTCATTCTTCTCAAGGCTGTCAATAGTTTGTTATGATCCACATAGTCAAATGTCTCGGCATACTCAATAAAACACAAGTAAACATCTTTATAGAATTCTTTGCTGTCAGCCAAGATCCATCTGACATCAGCAATGCTATCTCTTGTTTCATGACCTCTTCTGAACCCAGCCTGAACCTCTGCAGCTCACTGTCCATATACTGCTGCAACTGTTTTTGGATGATCTTCAGCAAACTTTTACAATGCTTAGATAGTTTAACTTACTTCTTGAGGTGAGTTTTATTTCCACTTTAAACTCATCTCAAAGTCATTGATTCTTTCTTTGATCATGTTAAGTCTACCATAAAGTCCACCCAAAAAAGTTGCCAATGAAAAATTGCCAATGGACTTCAAACCCTAG